TAATACTAAAAAATTAATAAAAAAATTATATATATTTAGGAGTTACTATTTATCTATTTTATTTTTAAAAAATTTAAAATTTTAAAAATATTTTAATTTATATTTTAAAAATAAAATATTTTAATGTTTTTAATATATATTTATTAAAATAATATAATTTTATAATAATATTTTTCATAATATTTAGAAGAGATAAGCACTACTTCTGTACATTTAGTAAGTAGTATAGGAATTATTAATAAAGTTGGTTAAAAAAAAAACTGTATCCATGACATGGTACAGGCTACAGAGCACCAGAAAGTTCACTTTGTAATAGTTGAAAAATTCATAAGATCATAGAAAATTTCGGCCAAAGTTCTCCCGTTCCCACTGGGAGAGAGTCAGAGAGATAAGGGAAAGAAAATTCTGATCCTTCCTCTTCTTCTTCTTCTTCTTCTTCTTCTTCTTCTTCTTCATGTGTTTCGTCTGGTTCATTAATGGTGTTTTAGTCCATGCTTAATCATTCGTTGATATTGATAAAAATTGCGCAATATTAAGCTCAAAGAAGACATGAGCCATCACCACACGCAGCACCACCATCATAACACCAGCGATGACGTTTCTCTGCTGGTGCATAGTCCCCGGTTCTCGGGTCCCGTGACTCGACGGGCTCACTCGTTCAAGCGCAGTGGAAACACCCAGAACACCGCTGGCAGCAACAACAGCGGCGCCGGCAACAACGGCAACGGGAATAGTTTGAGTGTTCATCACGAGATTGATCTACAATTGAACTCGCCGAGATCTGAGGGGAGACCCAACTCGGTGTCGGCTGATGGGTTGAGCCAGAGGGTTCATGGGGGTGTGGTTAAGAGTCTGCTGAGGAAGCCCGGTGTTGGATCTATGGTGTTCGAGTTGGGTTTGAGGGAGACGAGGAAGCTCCGGCACTGGATGTTCTTTGCGTTTTGTGGGGTGTGCTTGTTTTTGGGTGTTTTCAAGATTTGTGCTACTTGGTGGTTGGGATCGACGATTGAAAGTGTTGCCTCGAATCAGGTTCTTACACAGTCATCATCACAAACGTTGCAGGAATTAGAATATGTTTTTCTGTTGTTGTTAGGAATTGACTGCGTCTTGAATGGTGTTGAACTGCTCCTACATCATACCGTTATCAATACAAGAATGAAAAAAATGTAATTTTAATACGCAGGAATTTGGTGAAACTTAATTGCATGATCTCAGCCTTCGTGGTTGTATTAAATTTGATATTAAGATTTAAGACACAAGCAAAGCTTTTCCTTGGTAATGTATTGTTTACCATTACTGGTTGGTTGTCTACTATCATAGGGTCTTTCTGTTTAGTCATCTTTG